AGTGAGTGTTAGGACTTGATAAGTTATAACCCAGTTGTTAAATGGACCTAGCTTGTGAGAAGGTTGCAAAAAGTGATCATGTGACCTTGGGACACAGCCACTGTCATAAATATTAACCCGTTGCCAAATAACTGAATTTTGTTCACATGATCATGGGAATGCTGCAATGGTTATAATTGTAAAAAATGATCCTAAGTCCCATTTTTCAGTGCCATGGTAACTTTGAATGGTCATTAAATGAACTGTTGTAAGTCAAGGATTACCTGTACTAAAGAGGACCATTGCACATGAAGCACAGTCTTAACCTGAATATGGAGGCTTCTCAAGAATGTTTGAAATAATTCAATTAAATATCAGTTCAGTTCTTAAATTAAATCTATAAAATAAATAAATACAAATCACTCTAAATATGTTATGTACCAATTTATATTCTATCATATAAGAGCACACAGGATATTAAATGCATACAGAGTTCAAATCTAATTCTGACAATGTTTTTAATTGAAAAATTAGGATTAATGCAAATATATTGATATTGCATAAATAGTTTTAAATGTTAAAAAACTAAGATTTTTCAAGTCATTTTTCTCTTATGCATGTATCTGTAAAGCAAAAAATAATTTTAAAATAGATGTGATTCTTGCCAAGGGATCTGATTATAATTTCACATTAATGTTGTCTAACATGTTCTCCATGTTTTAATGCAACTCAGATTATTTTTAGAAATAAAGGTTATACAATCAAATAAGACAAGTTCTCCAGAAGGAGAAAACTAAATTGGGTCACGTATCTTAATTATCCTGGTCAGCTTATCAAAACAAAGGGAAATTGCCAGACCCTGAAGATCTTCCACACAATGGATGCCAGTACAGGATAGTTTGCATATGCCAAACTGTGAAGATGAGTTTTGTTTTGAGTTTATGATAATTATCCTCTTTAATTGTTGTGCATCTTGCTGTCAGGTTGATCCCTAAATATTTTACCTTCTTTACAATCTGTATATCTAATTTTCCCACCAGTTCTTTTTTTTTGTTTTTCAGTAATATTTTTCACTAACATTTTGGTTTTATCTTTATTAATTTTCAACCCAGCTACCTCACCATATTTTTCTATTTGTTCTATTAATACAGGTCCTGTCTCTAATGGTTCCTCCAAAATAAATACTAAATTGTCTGCGAATGCTTGTAGCTTATATTCTTCCCTCTTAATTTTCATCCCTTTTATGTCATTATTCTGTCTTATACGTCTATTTAATACTTCTAATGTCAGAACAAACAACAGTGGAGATAGGGGACAGCCCTGTCTTGTTCCCTTCATAATGTTGATCTTCTCAGTCATATCTCCATTTATCATTACTTTGGCTGATTGCTTATTATAAATTGTTCTGATTACGTTTATAAATTTCTCCCCACAATCCATAGTCTGTAATTGGCTTATCATGAATTGCCAGTTCACATTGTCGAATGCCTTCTGAGCGTCCAGGAACACCAATGCCATCTGTTTCTCGGGATGTGTTTCATAATATTCTAGTGTATTCAATATAATTCGCATATTGTCTCTAATCTGTCTTTTGGGTAAGAAGCCATTTTGATCTGATTGTATAAATTCATTTAAAAACTTTTTAAGTCTTTCCGCCATTATTGATGCAAATATTTTGTAGTCCACATTCAATAGGGAAATCGGCCTGTAGTTCTTTATTTTCTGTGTTTCCGTTTCTTCTTTGGTGTGAGAGTAATAAGAGTTTCGGACCACGAATCTGGTATCTTAGCTTCAGAAAGAAATTTATTATAAAGTTCCAACATTACATTACCTAGTACTTCCTGCAATGTCTTATATAGCTCTGCTGGTAGTCCATCCAGTCCTGGTGTTTTACCATTTTTTTTGTCTGTTGATTGCTTCTATTAATTCCATCATTGTTATTTCCCCTTCTAATAGCTTTTTAAATTTCTCCAGCATTTTAGATATCTCTGTTTCTTCCAAAAAATGTTTTATCCTATCATCTGAAACTGTTTGTTGCTTGTATAGGTTCTCATAATATTCCCAGATTATTTTTTTCTTTTCTTCATTTCGATGTTGTAAAATCCCCTCAGCATCTTCCAATTGTTTAATCCATCTCTTCTCTTTCTCCTTTTTAATTTTATATGTCAACCATCTCCCTGGTTTGTTTGAATGCTCAAAAAAGGTTTGCTTAGCTGCCTTTATTTTCATTGCCACTTCTTCATTTTCTAGTAAGTTCATTTTATGTTTGTTCAGTTCCATTAAATTTTTAATCTTTTTGTTTTGTATATCTTTCTGTAATTCTTTCTCAAGTATCTTATATTCTTCCTCCAGTTTTCCCTTATTTTGTCTTTTCTGTTTGTTCTTTTTTCCCAAATAAGTGATAGCAAGACCTCTCATGTATGCTTTCGCCGTATCCCAAACATTTTGAAGTGAAGTATCTTCTTTTTTGTTTTCCTTTAAAAAAAAGTATTTCTTTTTTCATATATTGCTGAAAATCCTTTTCATTCAATATAGTTTGGTTTAATGTCCATCTTGTTCTCTTTTTTTGTCCTTTCCATATGATTGTCACTGGGTTGTGATCCGCCCATGTGCTTGTTTCTATGGCTATATTTTGTATGTTTGTAAATAAATCTGTTGACATCCATGTCATATCAATTCTCGACCAGGACAGGTGTCTGTTAGAATAGAACGTATATTGTTTCTTTGCCGGATATTTCTCTCTCCAAGCATCAAGTATATTTAATTCATCCACCATATTATAGAAGGATTTAGGAAGTGTTCTTCTTAGAGTCTTATTTTTTTTTGTTGTATTATAATCCAACTCAGACAAATTGAAGTAGATTTGGATAAATGGAAAAATGTACAACTATCATTAATGGGAAGGATTGCGATAATCAAAATGAATATATTACCACAATTATTGTTCTTGTTTACAACAATACCAAGATTAGAAAGGAAATATTTTGAAGGGCTTAATAAAATAATCTTGAAATATATTTGGCAGGGAAAAAAGGCAAGAATTAAACAAAAAATGTTACAAGATTGAGAGGTGGGTTTGGTCTACCTAATTGGGAATTGTACTATCAGACTGCAGCATTATCATGGATGAGAGAATGGATCTTACTGAGGAATACAAGATTATTGACATTAGAGGGACATGATTTACAGTTGGGATGGCATGCTTTCATATGGTATGGAAAAAACAGAATACATAACTATTTCCAGAAACACTATATAAGGAATTCTTTATTTGTTGTCTGGGAGAAACTAAAGAGAAATTATTATTTGAAGATTCCAAATTGGCTCTCAACTATGGAGGCGTTAATACACCCCAATATGTTTAACATGGGAAACATTATAAGATATAAAGACTTATTAACAGATATGGGGGAGTTGAAAACCAAACAACAATTAGAGGAACAAGGAATAAAGATGGATTGGTACATGAGAACGCAAATACAATCTAGATATGAAAAAGATGTTAAAATAGATGGTGTTAATTTGGGGACAACAGAGTTAGATGAAATACTCACAGGAACGGAAGAAAAATGGATTAAAAAAATGTACAGTTATCTACTACATATGGAGTTAGAGAAGGAACAAGTGAAAGAGACAATGATAAAATGAACAAGGAATTTTGGATACACAATTGAATTAGATAGATGGCAGCAATTATGGGAAAGAAACTATAAATTGACAATGGCAACTGCGTATAAAGAAAATATGTACAAAATGTTTTACAGATGGCATATGTCTCCTGAAAGATTAGTTAAAATGTTTAAGGACAGGTCTATGAAATGTTGGAAATGTCATCAGATACCAGGTTCCTTCTACCATATGTGGTGGACGTGTGTAGAAGCTAAAACTTATTGGAATATAATTAGAACATGGATAGAAAAGATGATACAACAACGGATAGAACTAAGACCAGAAATATTCCTGTTGGGTATTCTGCCAGAGAAATACAATAAAGAAAAAACATATTTAATTATTCATGTAATTACGGCAGCCAGGATTGTGTTTGCACAAAATTGGAAAGCACTGAAAGCCCCGCCAGAGGGAGAGGTGATTGGGAAAATATTGGAATGTGCAGAAATGAATAGACTAACAATGACAATTAAAGATAAGACAGAGTCAGACTACTATGAAATTTGGGGAACTTTTTATGATTGGCTGAAAAGAGAATACAGTTAAAAGATAGTTAACATCAATTTAGATGGAAGAAGAAGGAGCAGATAAGGAGGGAGACCCAGGCAACACAGTATTGAATAACTGCAGGCTGTATAAATGTTTATAGAAGTATATACCAAGAAGTTTAGATAAATAGAAGTATTAATCTTATTGTATATAATACAGATAGGGAAATTTGGAGAGAGGAGTTGCTCGGACATTACCCCTGAATTGTATCTGAAGAGGGATGAAGAAAAGAGAGGAGAGAGTTTTGTTTTGAGGAAACTTTCTTTGTAGCACACCTTTAAGTATTTCTTAAATGACTATAAGTGCTCTGCCACTTCAAACAAGGTGGCCAATGGAGGCAATCAGATCTGCTCTGAAAATTCAGTTACTCAAACCACACTGAGGCGAAGCACTGCTTTGAAGCAAAGAAATCCCACTTCACACACTGCAGAAAAGCATTGTGTGTCGTACTGCAAGGATGAATAGGTTGTTGTCCAGATTTTGCTGAACTACAATTCACAGCATCTCTCACCCTGAGCTTATGGAAATTAAGCTTAAACTGCAATTAGGTTTCCTCAGCCCTGCAAAACAACTCAAGTCTCCTGAGAAGGGTTCCAATAAAAACACATTTCAACAAAATCAAAAGGAAAGGCTGGATAACTTTCCCTGTTTTCAACAACTATGAGCCTCACTTTTTCTTCTTGTATAGGCAAGACATATCAAATAAAAATGGTGATATTGTTAAAGTGGCTGGCCAGAATGCATTTTGTCAAGAACATTGATTAACCTTATTCCTGAAAGACTGACTGCTATTTCTTCCAGAGGAGTACAAAAACATTGAATGTTTTAAATGAGAGACGCTATTGGAAAATCATCTGTCTTACCCTCCTTATCCTTCGGTTGCTATGGGAAGAGGCTTATATAATATGTGAGTATAAAGCAGAGGTTTTAAATTCAGATGTGTGAGCTGCATGCAGCCCTCCAAATTATCTTTGTGTTCTGCAACAATACTTAGAAGAAGGAGTAAGCCTACAGTTGATGATACGTTCTGCAAAAGGCAACTCTGTGTTTCCTGATAATAGGAGAACATGTTCGAGGCTTTGACACTGACTGTGCTCCTTAGAATTTCTGAATTCAATATCTCTAGGCCAAGAAGAAGACCTGGTTCCATATATGGGCAGCTATAAACTGAGGAGCACATACATTCATAGTAGTGCATCTAACCACCATCACAGCTCAGGTCAGGCCTAGTATTTTTCATTTTCCTACTCCCCTATTATTACTGCAGTTCCTCCTTGCTACTAGCAATAGTTAAACATGACTTAGTCCAATGGAATCTCTATGCTTGTCTTGCTCTTTCATTCTCCAGCATGATTGGATGGAGAACCCACGGATGGGTTGTCTTAATCTATCTGCTACAATTAGACTAAGTCTGAAATTTAGTACCGCCCCCTCTGTGCCAACTGCACCCCAGTTTTAGACTTAGTCTCTTTGCTCTAAGATGCATTTTTTCTTCGCTCCAGGAGCAGAAGACTGTGTATTTTCCCTTTTTCTTATTTCTGTTAGCCTAGCTCTAATTCCTCATTTTTCATTATTTAATTAATTTCATTAATTAATTTCATTAATATAAAGAAATTTTCCAGCGATTGGAATCATCCTCACCTGACTGCCCGGCCGGGCTGACAGGCTGGGCATCCACGGACCCTTTTTTTCCTCTCCTCTTCTGAGAGCTTCCTTGAATTGCTGCTAACAGAGCCAAGCTCTATTCTGACTCTTACAACTTACTGCAGCTCCGGAAGCTCTGAAACTCCAGCCGCCGCCTGGTCGATTCCCCCGCTGTCAGCTGTTCGTCGGAGGACTCGTGGCATGATCTCTGAGGCCATGATCAAGGATTGGTTCTAATAAGAGAGGAAGGGTGCCTGGAGTTTCAGCACTTCCTCATTATTCTGAGGTTCCCAGAACCATCTTCCATACAGCCTGTGCCTCTGCTCTCCCTGACCTCCACATCCCACACCCCACTCTAATGTCAAAAGATACCCCAACTATCACTGTGTAGCTATCATTACCACCTAAGTGAAAAGGCAAAAAATAGTTGTTTTGCAATAATTTTACAAACTTTCATGAATTTAGGTTTAAAGGCATGCCTTATTTTGTTTCATTTTCTTCATTTTTATTTCCCTAGACACTTTTGTATAAATGTATGAAAAAGCTTCAGTATTATGGCTCCTGAATTAATAAATTAGTTCTCATATTGCAGTCATGACAATCTGAACTTGAAATTTCTGATATAAAGGAATTTAAGAGTAATTTGGAAACGAAGAGGAAAAGAAGACAATCAGTTCTATGCTAGAAGTACTTTGGGATACAGAATGTACTTTTCTGGGAATTTGCTGCTGATTTTGCTACATATGTTGCTCTGCTCAATACTGCAAACTAATTGTATAATAGTGCACTAGTAAAAAAAAATGGAACCAAACCAAACAAAAAGTATTTTCTAACAACAATTTTGGATCACACTTCAGCCTTGCATTTAAGTTATGAAATAACATTTTAGTTTTACCAGCTTTCTTTCTACGAAACAAGTACGACATCCTTCTGTGAATTGGCATGAGTTCTCCATGGAAGCTCTCTTGTGAAAAAGCAAAGAAATTGAAAACTGCAGATAAGGTAGATGTACTGCAGACAGAAGAAACTGGCACAGTAAATGAAATTAAGGATGAGGTTAACCTCAGATAAAGTTGCACTTTCTCTGATTTATTTTTCAGTATTTCTATTGGAGGTTTTGCCTTCAAAGTGGGATCCTGGTGTTGATGGTGATGATATGAAAATAGTATTTTGAAGAACCAGAATTGATGTTGCTGGGTTTTGTCTATGTTCCCATAATATCTAACAGTTGCTTGCTTGCCTTTGAATTTCTGTAATATACTGTATGTTCAATATATGATATATTGTCATACATCAAGCTGAGCATTGCAATGCATAGCACTCTGATAGATTCTTCTGCGTAGACTTTTATTGGAAGAATTACACTGAACTTTCCACCACTGAGAAGAAAAAGAACACGAAGAATTATAAATCAGAATTGCATTTCATAACACTTTCTCTTCCCTGAGCGCTACTGCTGTCAATAATATGATCCAGGTAGATATTTTAAAAGTTACTAGACTTCTCTATGTACTTATTGTGTACATGGATTGCTATTATATTACAAGGCTCCCAATCCCAACTTCATTCCTCTTTAATGGACCTTGCTTTCTGCTATATTCCCTTTCCTATTATATTATTTGACACTAATATTAAAATTGACACTGGAGAATAATATTCATTTTTCATCTCCTAAATAACAGTTTAAAGCATCTGAACTTCTAGAAGATTATTAAATTCTCGCCAGCAATATTTTTCACAAATAGCAAATAATTATTTTTCAGTTTTCAGAAATTAGGCATTGGTTAACAGGTTATAGAAAAATGTTTTCCTATCATTATTTTATTGACTCACTGCTCATATTTTGCAGGTTAGTGGAAGAAATATTCTGAAATTTTTGTGTGTATTTATGCATCATCACAATTGTTTCTATTTCTAAGAAGATGCAATAAGTCTTGTTTATTTCAATATTCTGTAGATTTTAAAAATCCAATTAAAAAATTATAACATGAACTACACATTTAATTTATGGGCCTAAATTAGAGAAGGGCAATTAATTGTCCCCAAACTGGATGCAAAATCTGAAATCTTGAAAAAAAAAATTAGGTCCACAGATCACTGGTGACATTTAGAGAGAAACTCTAACAAAATGGAAGTAAGTTGTCTTGCTGGGTGGGGGTTGGGGGAGATAAAAGAAAACAATACAAGCAATAAACATAATTCATCTTAAAAGGAAAATAAAATCTACAAATCTAACACCAAGAATACAACTGGAAAGTGGACATACCCTTGAGTCCAAGTTGATTCAACTGTATCCCTGCAATTTTCTTGAAACAATAAAGATGCTTGCTATTGCTTTCTTCTGCAATGTTTTGTTTTCAATTTTTTAGTATTATCAATGAACCTACAATTTCCATCCAGCAAGAGCAGATTCTTAAGCTTCTGCATGAACTAGATGGCTTGTTGAGGCAAACGAAAGAAAGTCCAAAGCAAATTATAAACAGCTATTTGACCAAAGCCAATAACTAAAATTATTTTTCTGTTTGAATACATGACTGATAGTTGCTTTAGACATTTCTACATCTTGGATCAAGGCTCTGGAAAGATTATCATGGTGATTCCTTCTTGTGCTTCAGAATGTACTCTTTCAACATTGCAAATGGTTGGTGTCAAGAGGAAATGAACAAAGGGGTGGTTGTCAGAGTGCCTGTTTTCCTTGCTTACTCTCTGCATACACATAATTCCTCATGTCTTTGAACTGATATGGTCTGTTGCACAGAAAAAGAAGTTCTCCATCATGAGTTGTCCTGAACAAAAAGTTGTTTGCTAATCACCCGTGGCTAAATATCACAGGGGCAGCCCAGGGAACATAATCTTGATATTAGACCATTAGGTTTCTGGGATTTAGAATTAGAGAATTAAATTCCTATTTTAGCCCAGCGTTTGTTTCCTATTAGAGAGGGGAAAAGATGCATTTTAAAAATAGGCAGTTGTAAGGTTTTTCAAAAACTTGTGCTGACAATGAATGACAAACAAGTCATACAGTACTTTTTACAATCAAAATGCCACTGATATTATAAGTTGCTACCCAATATCAGAGCCAAGTGTCTCACCTTGGACACTGAATGTGCCAAATTAAAAACTCAGCACTTGGCAGACTACTCCATCATTATTATTAGCTACATTCATACTAAAGTTGCCTGTTCATTTGGCTCTTTAACATTTGTTAAAATTCATTGTCTATATTTTATGAGCCTTTAAATAATTGTGCAATATAATTCATAGCTGATAAATGAGCCATTAAAATGCAAGAATAAACACTGAATAGGAAAAAAGACAATTAATCATGCATGTCATTCAAGGTGTTTGGTAACTAGCAAATGGAAAGGCAGAAAATGTTTTCTCTCTTTCATTTCTCCATCATCCATATATAGATGTAAGGTGACCAACTGTCCTCCTTTAGGGAGGACAGTCCTCCTTTTGTAAGTTCTGTCCTCCCTTAAAAAGTGTCCTCCTATATGTCCTCCTTTTCGATATTTGAAGACTAATCTGCAGAGCTTTTTTTTCTTCATAAAACCCTCAGAATGGCGTTTCAGCACCTGTTTTGATGTTTTTTTTTTCAACTTTTGCATGAGCTGTGCTACTCCCGCTATTGGCTTTTGAAAGCCAATAGGAATTGCTGCTGAGCGCACCAAAACACCCGGTTGGTAAACTTTGCACATGCAAGTTGTCTGTATTATTGTTGCAATGAATAAAATGTTTCTTTTATCTACGATATTTTTTTCTTCAATTTATTTGTGTCCTCCTTTTTATTGTAAAAAAGTTGGTCACTTTTTAGATAGTACTTCTGCTTCTAAAAGGGACGACAAGGTAACTAGTAGAAAACTTTATTTGAAAAAGGAAAGTGAATTATTATAGTATTTTTAGCAAGTATCAAAAGAGAAAGATAATGGTGCCAATAAAATATAATATACAGTATGTAATTCACAGTTGCACTATGGAGTTCTTGGTGATCTCTGAGTTTGGTTATTTGGTTGTAGATATTTCATTACCCAACTAGGTAATATCTTCAATATGAGTGAATGTGGGGTTTGTTCTCTGTTTATATAGGTTGTACTGCCAGTTTTCCAATTTTCTCCTTAATAGTTCCCTGATTAGATATTGTTTTCTGATTGATTGAATACATTTCTCCAAAACATCTTAAGTAAACAAAAAAACTGAATACCTCAAGAAGAAGAAAAACAGGACATATCTGCAACATACAGTGTAAGAACAGTAACAGCCACTATGTAGGACAGACAGGCAGAAAAATAGCAAAGTGAACACCAATTAGCAGTCAGAAGACAAGATGAAAACTTCTTAATCTCATAACATATGTACAAACTCTACCATAGTTCTCAGGCTCATAGGAAATTTTGAGCATCCTAGCCAAGTTAGATTTAAAATTGCTAGGGAATTCATTCAGACAAATCAGCCATATGTAGACATAAAAATAATATTTACACACTGTTCATATGACATAATTTTAAAAAGTTAAGAATGAAACAAAAAGGCCAGAACTCATCCTTTCTAGCAACCTACATTCAGATAAATAGGGATTAATACCAGACAAACAACCAAGCAGAAAAAAATGATATCATTTTATCTCTGTAGCCCTTAAAGGATTTTTGCTTATCAGGACTGAAATCAGAAATTAAGAGATAGTTTATAAATAGTATATAGAATATGGGAAGAAGAGATACAAGATATGATAAGAGATAATCAGTTATTAAAATTTATATGTTTATGATAAGGAGGAAATCTTTATATATTTCTTTTCTTTTTTACTATGTTATTTTTTCTTTATTTTCTATTTTCTTTCTATTTTCTTATTTTCTGTACTTTCTATTTTTTTGATTCTCTTATTTTTTAGTTTGCATTATCTTTTCCATTGTAATTGTTAGTAAAATTACTATAAAAAAAGAGAACCCAGCTAGAATCTTCTTGCCTAAAATGTGGCAGAAATCTCCTTCTGATATCTATATACCTTCCTCAGCCTCTTTTATTATGAACAGCATGCTTGCCAGTTGCTCTTAGCACCAATAGCCCATCAAGTACAATGCACAATAATTCATCCCAGGCAAAAAAATCTATAACTCTAGCTAGCAGTGTTTTTTCTCTGACTGTAGCATAAAAGAGGCTATTAAATAATAAGATGCATTCATTTTAAGCCAAATCCTTATAACAGGGCTCCCCAACCTGTGGGCCATGGCCCACTACCAGGTCGTGGCCTATTTGCAACCATGCTGGCACTCATAGACCCTATTTCACACAAATGAAATTGTGCATGTGCGTGCCTGCCCCTCACACAAACCATCCCCTCTTCCAGCTAATTGGAAATCAGTACTGATATTTTGATTTTGTAGCACCTTCTGATTGAGATTCTGACTATTAATGTAAGCAACACTTCACATGATACAAAGAAAATAATTATGCTATAGATACAAATATCCCATTTTGAATCATATGTATCATATGATAGACAGCTTTACATTTTGATACATATATAGATTTCCTTTTAATGGTAATCACAAGCTTGTGATCACTCATGAATAGGAAAGCTGTGAATAAGGCTGATCCTTGTGTTGAGGGGTTCTCCAGGATTGTGTTGCAAATACAACTTCATGCCAAACTTCCTTTAGCCCTGTAGATATACAAACCAAAACATATTATGGACTATAAAGAAACCATAAATAAAAGTTTCCTCAATCCCTTAGACTACATTGGTGAATGTATATGCAATGGCATTCATTCACCAAGAATTCTTACTTCTTATTTCCCATTCTTAGTTTTCTATGGAATGTTCTTATCTACAAAGGAGAGCAGATATCTTCTAGCATCCCCTTTAAAAAACCTAAAGGACAATACATCCATATGAAGTCA